CTCGGCGAGAAGGCCCGCCGCTTCAACGTCTTCAGGGAGAACGTCCGCCTCATCCACGAGTTCAACCGCGGCGACGCCCCCTACAAGCTCCGCCTCAACCGCTTCGGCGACATGACCGCCGACGAGTTCCGCCGCGCCTACGCCTCCTCCCGTGTCTCCCACCACCGCATGTTCAGCCCTAAGGAGGGTGGCGGCGGCTTCATGCACGGGAGCGCTCGGGACGTGCCGCCTTCGGTGGACTGGCGGCAGAAAGGCGCGGTGACCGCCGTCAAGGACCAGGGACAGTGCGGCAGCTGCTGGGCTTTCTCGACGATCGCGGCCGTGGAGGGCGTCAACGCGATCCGCACCAAGAACCTCACGTCTCTGTCCGAGCAGCAGCTCGTGGACTGCGACACCAAGTCCAACGCCGGCTGCAACGGCGGCCTCATGGACTACGCCTTCCAGTACATCGCCAAGCACGGCGGGGTGGCCGCCGAGGACGCGTACCCCTACAAGGCCCGGCAGGCCTCCTCCTGCAACAAGAAGCCGTCTGCCGTGGTCACCATCGACGGGTACGAGGACGTTCCGGCCAACGACGAAGCGGCGCTGAAGAAGGCGGTGGCCGCGCAGCCGGTGGCTGTGGCCATCGAGGCTAGCGGGTCGCACTTCCAGTTCTACTCGGAGGGGGTGTTCGCGGGCAAGTGCGGGACCGAGCTGGACCATGGCGTGACGGCGGTGGGGTACGGCGCCACCGTGGACGGCACCAAGTACTGGATCGTGAAGAACTCGTGGGGGCCGGAGTGGGGCGAGAAGGGGTACATCCGCATGAAGCGCGATGTGAAAGACAAGGAGGGGCTCTGCGGCATCGCCATGGAGGCGTCCTACCCCGTCAAGACCTCAGCCAACCCAAAGCATGCCGATGCCCATGACGAGCTCTGAATTTCTCGTCGATTATCTAACAAATTATTGGCCCCAATATGCATGATCAGGGCATTAATTATCGCTAGGAAAAAAATAAACAGTCAATCGTTATGTACCCATCACATACAATGCACTACTATTTAATTGTTTGTATCTAAACAGTTTACTATCTCTAATTTATGCTCTCTCTGAAAAAAGAACTTCATATATGTGCAAAACTTCAGGGGGCCATGCCCCCCCCCCCCCTCCTTCCCCGAGTTGCACTAACCTCTGTCGGTGTTTCCTTTGGTCCGGATCAGATAAGACTATCGGTACAAAGTGCCACTACAACATGGTACAAAATAGAAGGCACTAAAAATGCTTTTAAATGGTGAAATAATACCTTTGAAGAAGTAAGGAGGCGTCTGAAGAAAACGCATGATCACCAAGGCAAAGGTCTACATAAAAGGAACAAGTCGGTGGGTCTTGGTCTTGATGATGCCCGATGGACTCTGCTGGACCTACACCTACCAGCAATCCATCTGTGCAGTCATTTCTTCTGAAGTTTCTTAAGCTAACCCCCTGTCACCAGCTAAGAGCGAAATGTCTTCTGAACTTGTCATTCCTTCTGAAACGTTGTCGATGTTTGCTGCTTTTAAGTACGTCTAACTCTTGTTCCATAAGCAACATGGGACTAAAATGGTTGGAGTCTGACCAACCTCGCATGACGTGACGGGACCGAGCTGGACCATGGCGTGACGGCGGTGGGATACGACACCACCGTGGATGGCACCAAGTATTGGATCGTGAAGAACTCATGGGGGCCCGAGTGGGGTGAGAAGGGGTACATCCGCATGAAGCGTGATGTGAAAGACAAGGAGGGGCTCTGCGGCATCGCCATGGAGGCGTCCTGCCCCGTCAAGACCTCAGCCAACCCGAAGCATGCCAGTGCCAATGACAAGCTCTGAATCTCTCATCGATTGTCTAGCAAATTATTGGCCCCAATATGCATGATCAGGGCATTATCGCTATGGAAAAGAATAAGTAGTCAATCGTTATGCACCCATCACATATAGTGCACTACTAGTTAATTGTTTGTATCTAAACAGTTCACCATCTCTTATCTATGCTCTCCCTGAAAGAAAACTTCATACACAGGGAGGGCCATGCCCCCCCCCCCCCCCAAGTGTGGTGGACTTGGGGTGCTCAAAACGAACAAGTTTGCGCAGACATTAAGACTTCGTTGGCCTTGGTATGAGTGGAAAGAACCGACCAAATTGTGGGTGGGGTTAGAAAACCCATGTGATGAAGAGGATCTTGATTTTTCTATGCTTCCACCACCATCACGGTTGAAGACGGGGCAGAAACACCCTTTTGGGGCTCCCCCTGGCAGCTTGGATGAAAGCCTAAGGACACCACCCCTCTAATTTTTGAGGCCTCGACGAGAAAATGTTTGGAAGGTACGTGAGGCCCTTAAGGACAACACTTGGATTTCGAAGATCAATCCCTCCATAGTTGTCACCGCTCACCACATCCAGGAGTTCTTCACTCTTTGGATGCTCGTTCATGACTTCCAGCTAGATGTGCACATTGAGGATGAAATAGTGTGGAAGCACTCCAACGTTGATGTTTACTCGGCAGCCACAGTATACAAGGCCCAATTCTTGGGCATGGTCATATCTCCTTTGGACCGCATGATTTGGAAGGCTTGGGCACCTCCAAAAGTCAAGTTCTTTGCTTGGTTGCCTTGCCTTTGCAAGACCGGATTTGGACCGCCGATAGGTTGGAAAAGAGGGGTTGAGAAAATTGTGGTCTTCGCCCCTTTGCAAGAGGATGCAAGAATCTAGGGCACAGCTTTTCTACAAATGCTGATACACCCTGAGGCTTTGCAAATTTGTGATCGAAAATCTTGGGCTGTCACAGATGGATACTTCCGCATGGCATCTTGAGGAATTCGTCAAAAATTAGTAGTCAAAGAGTTAAGCACGAACAACCACAATAGAAAGGCCTTGGCCTCCCTCACCATGCTCGTCTCTTGGACTCTTATAGAATGAAAGAAACTCTCGTATTTTCCGCTACAAGAGTGCTCCACCATCAATCTTGCGCAACATCATCTTGAACGAGGCAGAGTTATGATCCATCATATCATAGGAAAAAAAACCTAGGAAAAATTGTATCACGAGAGTAATTTTCATGTGGCGTTTATGGGATATTTGTAGAACTCTTCTTTCCTTAATTAAGGACCATGATAAGTGTCACGCGTGTGGGTTGAAGGAGCTCAGGCCACACGGCCTTCTAGCCACCCATTGTGACACGTCAGTCTTTTTATTTTTTTTGGCATGCGTGCAAACAGGTAAGACAACAAATGATGTCAGCAGGGATCTTTTGGGATTTTCAAAATTTCAAATGTTTTATCTCTTAAATGACAAATCCGATTGAAAATCCATTTTCACCACTAAATCCGTCACGACGAGAACTTCAAAATCAAATCCATATCGATATGTTTCGACAAAAAAATTTGGCGGTCCAAAGTTGCCATGTCTATTGCATATAAATTGCAATGGTGTTTACACTGAAATTGCCATGATATCTTTCAACTACTTTTTCCTCTACGTTTAAAGGAAATTTTGACATGTTAAAAAAAAGAAATTAAGAAACTAAACTTGTCATGGTGAATTACTAAAATTTGCCATGATCCATGAAATAATTTTGACATGGTTCATAATTAGAAAGAAATCCGTCATCCGTTATTTTTAAAATGCATGGTCAATGGCTCAAATTTGCCATGAACCAGAAACTTAAATTGCCATGGTGAATTACTTAAATTTGTCATGATACATGCACAAAAATTTGCCATGGTTCATACAAAAAATAATTTCCATGGTCAAAATACTAAAATTACCATCATGAATTACTAAAAGTTGTCAAGATCCATGAGTTAAATTTGCCGTGGTTAATTACTAAAATTGCCATGATCAATTAATAAAACTTGCTGTGAAAAGTAGTTGAAATACAATAGTAGTTTTAAATCTAGAAGAAAAAAAATAAATAGAACATATCATTGCAACTTTAGTGTAAACACTATGGCAACTTCAGTGTAAAATCATGGCAACTTTTGGCCCAAGAAAAAGTCATCGAAACATGTTAATATTGTATTTAGTTTTGGAGATCTCGTCTAGACGGATTTAATGTTGAAAATTTATTTTAATCGGATTTTTTATTTAAGAGATAAAATATTTGTAAGTCTGAAAAACCAAAAAGATTTCGCTGATGTCATTTGTTAATGTGGTAAAATGGATAGTAATGATGATGTTTGAATCATATTGCTTTGTGCCACACATGTGGCACTTATCATTTGGGCTAATTAATATACGAGGCAAATATTTTGTGTCCATTTAAAAAAGAAAGAAAAGGATATTCGATGACATGCTAGATAGTCATGAGTTAAGCTCCCACAAAATGTTGGCATGTGGTGGCCCAAGGCTTTGGGCAACTTTGGTGGCCCCACATGTAAGTGGGTGTCTCGTAGGTGCAGCGTTTTAGTCCCACTAGCAGCCAATTCTGCTAGTCGTAACCCAGTCTCATCTTTTTGCACCTTTTTTTTCGTTGTGTTCCTACTCAATCTGCTTTAGAGCATCTATAGCCGAACCTGCCAAATTCGACCACTTAAACGTCCACGGACGCATAGGACGTGATCTTAGACAGCGATGGACGGCCCCTCAAATATCCTATTGAACAATCACACTCCTTAACCCTCAAGCTCATGTACGTTGATCATATAGTGCAAATTTATCACAATTAAGTCCATACAAAACGAGCCAAAAGCTAGCCAAATTTAGTGGTCTATATCCGCAACACTATTAAGGACCGTTCATCTGCGCGGCAAAGCGCGCCTTTCCATCTACTAGTATTCCCGAGGAATATGATACCCGTCTCTCGTCGGCTCATCTGTTGAGTTCGTGCGCGGAGCATCTCATCTGACGGAAAGCGAAGATGTAGCGAAATGCGTCCCCATCTCTCTCACTTCACCAGGAAGCTGAGTATATGTCATTTGCCTATATATGAAGCACAGTTCTTTCTCCACTTCGCTGCATCCGAAGTTTGTCCTTCGTACAGCAGTGATGCAGATGAACAACAAGGAGCCGGCCGCCGACGGCAAGTCGCCGACTACCATCTGTAGCAGGCTTCAGAGAGCCTTCCACGCCCGGCCGGTCTTCGGGCCTCTTCGCCGCCTCACGGGCCAACCCCACGACGGCGGAGCTGCCGCTACCGGCGTACCGGGGGGAGCGCCTGCCGCGACGCACGGTGCTGCACCGCCACCGGTTGTATTGCCGGCACGTGCACCGGCGCCGTCTCCAGTAGGCAAAGCTCCCGCACCTAAGGCGGCACCGGCGATCGTGCCAGCGGCGCCCCAGAAACCGGCTGCTGCCAAGGGAGGTGGCAAGCCTGGGCAGGTCCTCGGGAGCACTTCTACCGTCGCGGCAACCACGAGCAAGGTTCCCGAGAAGGCGGCAGGGGGGATCCCGGTTCCGGTGCCACCGCCGGCGGTCATGGCTGGAAGGCCGGCAGCGGACGCGAAGGCTGGGGACAACAAGGCGCAGCAGACAAAGGGGAAGATCAGGGTGAGCTCCAGGGTCCGCAAGGCCTTAGCCTCATCCAAGTAGAGGGATGATCAACTGAATCGCCAGGGTGCGCGCCAAGAACGGAGCTAGCTGAATTACGCATCTCCAAAGCCATTCTCTGTTACCAGTGTACTGTTTTTTATTTACCGATTTTGAGCTAGGCTCTCCGTTCTGCTGTAACTTCAGATTTTCTTCTTGTTGATGGATTATCACTTGGGGGATCACCAGGAGGGAAAGTCACAGAAACTGGGCCGGATTGTACCAGCAATAATATTCTTGGCTCGAGTTCTTTGATGCTACACATCATATAAAAAAAGCTTTGTCTAAAAAATCACATAAAAAAGCTCACTCGAGAACGAATAGCGGATATATTTATTGTGACTTTATTATACCATCCTTCGCCGAACTGCAATGTCCTCCAAATTGACGCAGCTCTTGGAGGCTTAAGGGTGTTGGTTCTGAACTTTTGATAGGTTTGTTCTGAACTTCTGATATGCCAAACAAGTCAGAACTTCTGATAGGTGATCAGCATTACAACTTCTCGATTCGCTGAATGATCAGGTCTCTCTCCTCGTCAAGTTCATCTTCACCTGTAAAATGGAACAAAAAAAATTACATATGCGGGTTTTTGTGGTGGTTGACATCATGGCTTCAAGTCTAAACTCAGAACAACCAGAAGCGGGTTTCCTGACTACTCCATCCTTCTTTTGCAATTTTAAGCTGGTCTGTAATGGGCTCTAAGATGGAAACTTCACAGCACTACCTTTACTTGCAGGAAGATCGTGGAGTAGTTTCAACAATTCTTTGCGATTGTCTCGTAAAGCTTCAATAATACCAGGAGGCTTGTTTGGATTGGCAACGAACACCTAATTCCACACAGGGAAATGGACCAACAAAAATTGTTACAAGGAATTTGTTTGACGGGGAAATACAGTGTACGTGCACTTGAAGATGGTACCTTAAAAACGTGGAAGGCACATATTTTGATATTTTTGCTTGAATCCTACAAAGGATGCCGGTTAGTAGTAACACTCCTACAAATAGATAGGATCTGTACATACATAATATTTAATAATATTTGTGCAGAAATGGAGAATCTTTCATGCAAAAAATCAATGTTAAGAAAGTTTGCAAGCTTTTATTTCTCATAAATGAAGCCTTTCAAATGTATATTCACGTCTGAACTTCCAGACAACTGCTGGAACATTTGGCTAAGAGATAAGAATGTTCAAGACAGTATTTTTTTTTTCTTTTGACAGAACCTCGTCAAGAGGGCTGGGAGCTCTTGCACACTCATATAGAAGACAGGCCCAGTTTAAAAGAGTAATATAATGCTTGAGTTTTCACAATGATGGACCTTCACTTAGCAGCCTATAAACACTTAGTCAAGCAGTTACTCTATGTAGTCTAACCTAGTACGTAGCTACCAAAAAAGCTTGTACATATGCCTCCCTTACTGTTTTACGCTCAAAATGTATAGTTTTCTACAGGTTAGAAGTCATTTATGCGCATTTTCGAGCATTCTACACTACTAGGTCCTGGAGTTCTTCACCTGATCAAGCAGAACCTTCGCCTTCTCCAGCCCACTACCTCTGTTCATTGGCTATCTGACTGTGAGAATGAACCACCCCTAGGTCTGATTAGTGTATGTTTACTTATACTTCAGGGACCAGGGTGCGTTGTGGGCGGCCATTGGCCTTTCGCTTTGTAATGCTAACTCTGTAAAACTCTTTTTATTTTAAATATAGGCAGATCACTGCCAGTTCCTCATTAAAAAACCGCTGACTACCTTTTACGTCTTAAGTTCAAGGTGGAATAACAACTACTGAAATGGAATCTAAATAATATTACAATCTATTAATTTGACCTTAAAAAACAATCTATTAATTTCCATAATATCCATAGAAAAATCATATTAGTGAGGCTTTTAAATACGAACTTAACAAGAAACAGAGTAATGAATAACCAAAATAGGCTATCTCATTGTCACGTAATTCCCAGATGAACAGTAAAATGTATACTATAACTGATACCTTCAGTAGACCAATCATAATATTTAGGAAACGAACTTCCTGAATGTATCGCTTCATTATTTTAGAGTTTGAAGGCTCCAATAGAAATTCTGAAAGGAACTGAAAATACAGACACCAATATCAGTTTCTTTTCCATGTGAATGAGATGATTAGCTAGAGCATCAAGTCTGACCTTCACCGACTGACGCCTTGTTACATAATTAGCTGATGTTAAGATCCTTGTGTAGCGTTCAAAGAACTGAACAAAATATTTTACAGTGTTAGTGACAACAGGAATGGAACTATCCACTATGTTATGTTAGACTGTTAGTGATCTGGTTGGCGGAGTCAAGTATTTATGTAGGCATTAGGGCAAGCAACAATGAAAGTGCAAATCTGTAAGTGTATCAGAAAATCAGAAGGCAGAGTCACAGAGGTAATAATCCGACAATGATGGCATACAAAAATATGAACTCAAAAATAAGAAATGTTATTTCATTTTGATTGCATGAATGCAGATTTTTTTCAGAAAAAGAGAGTGACCTGCTCGTAGTGGGAGCTCAAGTACACGGACACAACACTTTCATGTTTGGTAAGCAAATCCTGCAAACATCTTGTCAAGAACGACCATTCAATATTTGATAAAGAGTAAATTTACATAAAGATAAATCTGAAAATATGGATTTACCTTGAAGGTGTATAGAGCATCAGAGGCAATGTCGAAGTTCGGCAGCTCAACATACTCGAAAAACAGCTCAAAGCTATTGGATTCCAATATATATCTGAAAGGGCGCTACAAAATCATATATATGCAAAATTGAATTAACTAGTTATCAAACTATTTTATATTTCAGAATATGTTGTGCTTATGGTTAATAACCACCTCATCCCAGATCCGGGCCCTTTTGGGCCCGATCTGGGTCAGGGTGGGTTGGTCTGGCCTCCGACGGGTCTCCTCCGGCTGGGCCGACGGGATGCGGTCGTTGGGATCGGCGGCTCTGCGCTGCGTCGGCTGCAGCGCAGCGGCAGGAGCTTAACTGGCCCGATCTGGGCCCGGCTGGGCAGGGGTCCAGCGTGCTCCCGCGCCTGCGTCCGGTCTGCTACGGCTTGTGCCAGTGGAGGTTGTCCCCTCCCACGTGGCTGTGGTGCTCCTGGTCCCTATCGGCGGTGGTCTCGCTTGGTTCGGCCTGCCTCGCAGCGTCTGCGGTGGAGAGACGACGGTGGTGTCCTCGTGACTGTGGTGGCGCAGGTTGGTGGGCGGTTGGCATGGTGGAGCCGCCGGTTGGTCCTGGGTTGTGGGTATGAAGGGCAGGGCAAAATCCCTCTCGGGTCCGCCCGGCACCGGCGCGGTGACGCCTGTGGGCGCCATCAACCTTCTTGAAGGGCGTCGGGAGTACCTCTCGCCCGCTTCCCTCCGTGTACCGGGAGAAATCCTAGGATTCGTCCGGGCAGCAGCGGCGTCGTCGTCGCAGTCCTTCTTGAGGGTGTTGCTTGGTTCACGGCGACTCGATGGCATTGGAGCGTGGTGGATGTTTCCGGTGGGCGCAGCGGTTGCGGGATGCCTCAGCTTTCGTTCATCCGGTGCTGCCGGCATTTCTTTCTCTTGATTTTCTCTTGTTTTTCTTTTGGGCATGATTGTGATGTTTGCCCCAGCGTCGAACTTGTGGATGTATCGGGTGGTTGCTATATTAATATAGCGGGGCGAAAACCTATTTCGGTAACAAAATGATTCACCGACGATACTTTTGTGGTAAGGTGAATGTGAGGGACAAAGCTATTTCAAAGGCTAAGTGGATAACAGCACAATAATTGTGGTGAAGAAAGAAGGACATGTCTGGTAGATATTAAATTTGAATCGGTAAATTTAAAGTATTTTACATTTTATTTCAGAAGAAAGGTGCAATAATGCATCTAAGGCAAACAGCTTTATGGTTGTTCAACCTTGTTTTCATAGTAAATGCTATTGAAGGCAATCAATTCTTTTCACATATTCGTGCATAGCCAAAGATTCCTAGCATGGGAAAATTAAAACGCATCAACTTGTTCTTCATGTTATATTATTTTGTACGCGTACATCTTGTGCTACATTTAGCTCAGCACAGATTTACCAAGAAAAGTTAGGTGCATATATTATAGTAGTCCCAAACAAAATAATGTCCCAAGTAGATGAAAAGTTTGAAGCCTTACTTTGCAAGGGTTGGATGTTTTATGCATTCTCTCACCATAATCCCACAGTTCAGTGCAAGGTCCGACTTCTTGTAACTGTTGCAAGAGTTTACCAATCAGGCTTACAAAGATACGGTATACCAAGGAACAGCAACTATTAAGAAAGCTGTCGCAGAAGATTTAAATCATGGACTGCAAGGCTTCAAGTGCAAGACCCTTTGGTAAGTGCCAATTACAGAAGTCCATATTAATGATACGGAAAATCAGGTAAATTAAATAATTTTAAGGAAAAGCAATTTGATATACATGCAAACAGAGGATATCTTGTAAACTATCTCTGCATTCATTTTCACTGTTCCAACTGGAATTAACTGGAGAAGTAGATGACTTGCCAAACAACTAGGAAATCTAAAAGCTCCACGTGATCTTCAATATACTTCACACAGCAATAATTCTCATCAACTTTCTGCCCAAGCAAAATGCACCAGCAAATAACCAAATCTTTTCTTACCTGCAATTCAGAGCTAGCGAGTTCAGTACCTGAGTAATACTCGCTCCACCCCATCTAGATACATCCGTTTGAGCGTCAATTAATATGGGACGGAGGCAGTAATAGATTAAAAAAAAGAGATAAACACATTTAGTTGATAAGCGACATACTCCCCAACCCAAGGAAGGTAGATTCTGAACAAAGAGGGAAAGCACGCCCTCCTTGCAAATTTCAAGTGCTATTTGCAGGACTTGCTCTTGATTTGCTCCTGCTTCTCCATCACCAGAGAGCACTTGCCGCAACGAGGAGATGTCTTTCTCAACCTCTTCGAGAGCCTAAGAAGATACACAAATTAGGAGTCATTTGTACATCACAACTGCATTGGACGACTTGCCAGAAATATATATGACTTCTTCTCTACAACATGACCAAATTGCAAACATCATCATCATGCATTATTTTGATCTAGATTCTAGAGCTTGCAGCTTTCCAGGGCAGTGAAGAATACAAACTGAGAGAAGAAACAATATGATCATGCACACAGAATCACACAAACCCCTGAAGACTCACCCTGAAACAGGCTTTTCCTACCGATCGACCAATTTCAGCAATTTATGCAAACCTTCTTTTGATCGTAACATTTTACTCTCAGTTGTGTGATCCAAGAATAACTGGAGCAGGCGCGGACGAATGGACTCCAGCCTCATCTTCTAGCATAGGATGGGTGATCGAGATTATAAGAGGCAGCGGAGATGGGAAAGGCGATTATTACCCTGTCGCCGGTCTTGGTGGGGAGGGCGAGGAAGGAGTCCTTGATGGAGAGGACCACCCCGGCCGTCGACGCCATCCGGAAGAGGAATGACAGCTCTGTCGCTCTGTCGTCGCCTCGCCGGCACCGGAACGGAATGACGCTGTATCTGTCGCGGGATCGGGCGGTTGCGGTGGCCCGCCCTTGCAGCGTCTAGCTTTTGCGTTTTAAACCTCTTTTTTCTTTTTTGCGAATACACTCTTTCTTTCTTATACACTTCCTATGTTTATTTTAAGGGCTAAAAGCGGAGTCGATCATGTAAACAGGGCTGAAAGTGGAGTGGGTCTTCTAAACACGGCTGACAGTGGAGTTGATCCGTCTTTTTTTCTTGAAAACCGTGGAGTTGTTTTGTTTTCCTTTTTTTAAAGAAATTTCTGATCTATTCTTCAATCATGGCACTACAACGAACACCAAAAATAATAAAAATTACATCCAGATCTGTAGACCACCTAGCGACGACTACAAGCATTAAAACGAGTTGAAGGCGCGTCACCATCATCACCCCTCTCTCGCCGGAGCTGGGCAAAACTTGTTGTAGTAGACAGTCGGGAATTTGTTGTGCTAAGGCCGCACATGACCAGCGCAGCAGAACAGCAACCATCGCTGATGAAGAGTAGCGTAGACCGGAAGGATTCAACCTGAAAAAACATAAATATAGACGAACTACGATTAGATCCGGGCAAATCCACCAAGGACAGGTCCCTCGAAGACAAACCTCCACACGCCCACCGACGGTACTAGACATACCACCTGGACGAGGGCTAGGCGGGGAGAACATTATTCCATCTTTAGGGAGCCGTCACCGTCTTGTCTTCTTAAGTAGGACACAAACCCTAACAAAACACGAAGGAATAACTAAAACAGAGCCCTCCCGACGGCAAGGGCTGGGATCCACCGAGCCGCCGTGGCTCAAAGGCCACCGGAGACGAGGCGGACTGGCGACAGCGGTGGGAGGCAGAGGAACCCTAAGCTTTTTTGAGTTGTTTTTTTTTTGAGTGAGAGCGAAGAAAAACTTGAAGTTGATCAGTCTAAATGACGCATACAACAATAACAAAAATTGCACAGTTTTTCTATAGATGTGTAACTAATTATTATTTTATTTTCAACAATGGAAGAGGTTCCCCAGACTCCACAGGTAGCATAACAAGATATAGACCCTGTTTGTTTGGGCTTTTCCTACCGATTGACCAATTTCATCAATTTATGCAAACTTTCCTTTGATCGCAAACTTTTACTCTTAGTTATGTGATACAAGAATAACTGGAGCATGCACGCACGAATGGACACCGGCCTCATCTTCTACCATAGGAGGGACGAGAATATAATAGGAGGCGGAGATGGTAAAGGAGATTGTTACCCTGGCGTCGGTTTTGGTAGGGAGAGCGAGGGAGGAGTCCTTGATGAAGAGGACTACTACTTGTGAGCTGTGTTGGGATTTTCTTCGAAGAGAGAAGGGTGAATCAATATAGTAGCGGTCAATATTTTCCTAAGTGAGAATCAAGGTTATCGAACCAATAGAAGAATCACGCAAATGTCTAATAAGCAACACCTACACACACAAGAGCAAATACTTGCACCACACGGGTAAGAGGGTTGTCTATCCCCTTGAACTCATTACTTGCAAGGGTTAAATCTAATAGTGATAGATATATAAATTGAAAAGTAAAATAAAATAAGTAAAATTGCAGCAAGGTATTTTTGGTTTTAGTAATATGATAGAAGTAGATCAGGGGGGGCATAGTTTTCACTAGAGGCTTCTCTCTCAAAACATAACATATGATGGGTAGACAAATTACTATTGGGCAATTGATAGAAAAACGCATAGTTATGACGTTATTCATGGCAATGATCATGTATATAGGCATCACGTCCGTGACAAGTAGACCGACTCCTGCCTGCATCTACTACTATTACTCCCATATCGACTGACTCCTGCATGCATCCATGGTATTAAGTTCATGGCAAACAAAGTAATGCTTTAAGCAAGATGACATGAAGTAGATAGAATAAACCAAGCAATATGGTCAAAACCCTCGTTTTCCCCTTCATGACAACAATACAACTATGTGCCTCGCTACCCCTACTGTCACTGGGTGAGGACACCGCAAGATTGAACCCATTACAAAACACATCTCCCACAGAAGATAAATCAATCTAGTTGGCCAAACCAAACGAATAGATTAGAGAGAAATACAAGGCTATAATAATCATGCATAATAAAGTTCGGAAAAGACTAATTACTTTCAGTGAATAATCTGATCATAAACCCACAATTTATCGGATCCCAACAAACACACCGCAAAGGAAGATTACATCGAATCGATCTCCATGAAGATCATGGAGAACATTGTATTAAAGATCAAAGAGAGAGAAGAAGTCATCTAGCTACTAGCTATGGACCAGTATCTGTTGTGAACTACTCACACATCATCAAAAGGGCAGAAAGTTTGATGTAGAAGCCCTCCATGATCGACCCCCCCCTCCAGCAGAGTACTAGAAAAGGCATCCAGACGCCAAGTTTTAATTGCTTCAATTTTGGACTCGTCAACATGAAGACCCTTGGAAGAAACAACAAAACCCAAGAAAACAAGCTTGTCAACACCAAAAGTGCATTTTTCCATATTGGCATAAAGACGTTCTTTTCGAAGAGTTTGCAAAACGGCCCTAAGATGATTTACATGGTCTTTGAGGGATTTGCTAAACACAAGTATGTCGTCAAAATAGACCACAACAAACACGCCAATGTATGGGTGAAGCACAAAATGCATAACACGCATGAAAGGGCCGATAGCTTCTGATAAACCCATAGGCATAACTAACCACTCGTAAAAGCCAAATTTAGTTTTAAAAGCGGTTTTCCATTCATCGCCTTCTTGAATGCGGATTTGGTAATAACCACTTTTAAGATCAATTTTTGAGAAAATGGTGGCTCCACTAAGCTCATCTAACATACCATCAAGTCGCGGAATGGGATGCCTATAACAAACGGTGATAGCATTGATGGGTCTACAATCGGAACGCGTGCAAAAACTACCATCTCTTTTTGGCACAAGGGCTTAAGCTATCATGTACATGTCCGTTGTCGATGAGTTTTTCAACTTGTTGTTGGATCTCCTTAGTTTCCTCGGGGTTGACGCGGTATGGAGCCTTGTTCAAAAGAGGTGCACCGGGGATGAGGTCGATCCGGTGTTCAATTCCACGTAGAGGAGGGAGACCGGAAGGTAGCTCATCGGGGAAGACATCCGCGAATTCCTGCAACAAGTTACAGAACACTAGAGGAAGAGGGTTAGAAGGGTTAGTCCTTGCCACCTCATCTTTCCACACTAGGACGTAGTGTATGACACTCGACAGGTTCTCACACACTTCTCTCATCTCTCTTTTGGTGGCTAGGAGGACTAAGTTTTTCTCTCTCAGTGAAGAGTCACTCATTTTTGGCCTATGGCTCTATCTCTCTTTGTGGTGGTTCACTCTCTCACTAGCCTCTCCATGATGGGTGGATGCTTGCTTGTCGGTGATCACTTGACTTAGTGACATAGGTCGTAGCACGTACTCCTTTCCTTTCATCTTGAAGCTATAGTGGTTTCTTCTTTCGTTGTGGATGACATCGTGGTCGAATTGCCAAGGTCTTCCCAAGAGAAGATGGCACACAGACATTGGAACCACGTCACACTCCAAGGTGTCCTCGTAGGCGCTGATCTTGAAGGAAACTTGCACCCTGTGCTCCACTTGAATAGTGTCGGAGTCGCTAAGCCATTGGACCTTGTAGGGCCGAGGATGCTTCTTCTTGACAAATTGTAGCTTGGAACATAGCTCTTTTCTTGCCAAATTGTTGCAACTTCCTCCGTCGATGATGACCTTCACGGAACGCCCGTTGATGCCGGCCTTGGCGTGGAAGATGTGGCAATGTTGGTCTTCTTCTTTGTGGTGTTGTAGCATAGAGACCTTGGAGACCACGAGAGAGGGACTTGAATCATTTTCACAAAAGACTTGATCATCTTCATCTTCATTTACATGCCGGTGCATGGACACGTGCTCAAGGGCTTTCATTTCTTCTTCACTCATGGAGTCGTCTGTGCCATCATCGTTGACAATCATGGTTCACTTGTTGGTGCATTGGAAGGACTTGTGTCCTCGGCCACCACATGTGAAGCACTTGAGAGAAATTGTCTTGACGGGGTCATTTGGTTGCGTCGAAGATAAGGGAGTTTTGGATTTGTAGTTGCTTGCTGGAGGACGAGTCGAGGAAGACGTAACTTGCTTGGAACTTGAATTGTCACCGATACTTGGTGATGCTCTAGTTGAGGTAGGAGGTGCCGAAGTCATGGGAGCTTGAGTGTAGGATCCGTATGTCTTGGAAGAGTACTTGGCATATTTGAAGTCATCTTGTACTTATCACTCGGCCTTGGTCGCTTGATGAACTAGCTCGAGAAGGTTGGAGTAGGGTTGGAAGTCAGCAATTCGCTTGATGGGGTGATTGAGGCCGTTCAAGAATCGTGCCATAGTTTGCTCGTCATCTTCCTTGACATTGGCTCTTATCATGGCAATCTCCATTTCTTGGTAGTATTGTTCCACCCTCTTCGTGCCTTGCTTGAGGAGTTGCAACTTCTTGAAAAGATCGCGGGTGTAGTGTGTAGGCATGAAGCGAGCTCTCATGACATCCTTCATTCGCACCAAGTTGTGATGGGTGGTTCGCCTGTTGCTTGTCGTCGCTCAATCACTTGCTCCCACCAAATGAGGACGTAGTCTTGAAACTCGAGGGAGGCCATGGCGATCTTCTTTTCCTCGTCGTAGTTGTGAAGACGGAATATCTTGTCCACTTTCAATGCCCATGAGAGATATTCTTCGGGATCATTGCTTTCAGATAACTTGGGCATGGTGAACGCTTGTCGTAGCGGAGTTTTTCATCATAGTGGCGGTTTTGATGTCGCTCTTGCCACGGAGGAAGGTCCTCAAATGCTCATTCCTCTTGATGTCGCTCTTGGCGTGGAAGAGGGTCTTCAAGCACTTGTTCCACCTGAAGGAAATATGCCCTAGAGGCA